ATCTATATAGTCGTATATATCACTATAACACTATCTATAATCAATAACTCTACATAACTTTATATGAATCTATATAACCGTATATAACACTATATGACTATATATATTTAATAACTCTACATAACTATATATAAATCTATATAACCGTATATAACACTATATAACTATATCTAATCAATAACTCAACATAACTATATATAAATCTATATAACCATATATATCACTATATAACTTTTTATAATAAATAACTCTACATAACTATATATAAGTCTATATAACCGTATATAACACTACATAACTATATATAAATCTATATAACCTACGAACTACTACTAATTTAAACTGGTTTATCTTATCGCCTCAGTGGCTCTATACTATTAAGCGCTAAGCGCATAAATTTTAGGATCGTCACAAACTATATATAAATCTATATAACCGTATATATCACTATATAACTAAATATAATCTTTAACTCTACATAACTATATATAAATTTATATAACCGTATATCTCACTATATTACTATATATAATCTATAATTCTATATAACTATATATAAATTTTTCTAACCGTTTAAATCACTATATATCTATATATTATCAATAACACTATATAACTTTATATAAATATATATAACCGTATATATCACTATATAACTATATATAATCAATAACACTATATAACTATATGCATATCTTTATAACCGTATATAACACTATATCACCATATCTATTCAATATCTCTACATAACTATATTTAAATCTATATAACCGTATATAACACTATATGACTATCTATATTCAATAACACTGCATAACTTTATATAAATCTATATAACCGTATATATCACCATATAACTATATATAATCAATAACTCTACATAACTATATATAAATCTAGATAACTTGGAGAATTCAAAATAGTTTGAGACCACACCTTTCTTAACATCCGATTCCATGCCAAGCTGAGCCAATATGCATATTTTTTTGAAAGCGCTTTTATGTTAAAATTTTGCTCGCTATATTTATATATTTTATAAATTCATTATAAAAACAACAGTAATCATTGCTATATATGTACGCACGCAGTTCAAATTTTTCGGGGCGAATTCAAAATAGTTTAATAGACCACACCTTGCTTAACATCCGATTCCAAGCCGAGCCAAGCCAAGCTGAGTCAATATGCATATATTTATAAGCGCTTTTATATTAAAATTTTGCTCGCTTTTTAAACGAATTTCCCAATATAACAAATTCTCCATTCTATTTTAACTTTCTTTGATGCTTTTTAATCAGTCAGGTTACAAAAATCATTATCGATATCACAATGAAATCAATTTGAAATTTTTTTTTAATTATTGATGAACTTTTTAAATTGTTGATAAAAATAACTAGTATATATAGTGTAGTAAAACGTTTAAAATTTTCTGAGAGAATTCACAATAATTTGAGACTACACCATAACACAATTGTACAATTTGAATGTGTAAATACAACATTATAAATGTATTATAACTACGTGTATATATCTATCTATTTCTTTATTTAATTCTGCCTGTGTATGATATTTTGTCAAATTTATTTGATAGGAATTGAATATAACCTTCATACCGGCTGATTAACTACCATGCAGTAAAATAACTACTGTTGACACCATTTCCTCCAACGATTTCGCAACGAATTGCCCATACCAATTAATTAGAATAAACTCTTTCAGTCAATGTTTAAATTTTTATATTGTCATTTATTCTCTCGTTTTTGTTTCTGTACTAATTTTCGTGTCAGATACAATAATTTAGTTTTTAAGTAAATTTTCATTATCGTAGCTATCACAAACATGCCTGTTGCATTAATAATAAATAGAAATGAGAAAATTTCTGATGCATCTTTTCACAGGTTTATTTTCAAATTAACTTCACACTGAAATAAATGTAACAATATCCCTATACTCATTGAATAGAACTATTTTGTTTTACAATTACATATATTTTATTTTATAGACTATTATAATTTATAATGCTATCATGGATTACCATTTTATTATTAAAAGCAATACTTAAGAAATGCACAAGTTTCTGTAACAGTTTATAAAATTTCAGATTTCCTCAAAATGTAAAAATGCAAAACGATTGGATTAAGTGCATCAGACAGGAAATAAATGATTTCAAATGGCTTCCATCAAAAAATGCAAGAATATGCAGTGACCATTTCTGTAATAAAGATTATAAGGGTTATGATATAGAAAGGAAGGTAATGCTGAAGGAAGCATTCCCATGTTTTCAAGTTAGTTATATTTATATTTCATCAGTAACCCAAGGAAGCAATTCACATCATCATTGTACATTGCAACATTCTTATCTATACAAAAAATATAAAATGCATTCAACAATATTCCATGTATTTTATTAAAACTTAGAAAGGGCATAATGACATTGTGAATAATAAACCTTGCTTAGGACTGGGATCATCATCATCATACCAATCACCATTACAAATAGAGTCGATTTTATATTAATGCTTAACTAAATTGGCATAATCAAGTTTTTATATGAAATACACATCAAGTATTTAATGTAACAAATAAATTAACAGAAAAATTTCTGGAAAAGTTTAAAAAAATTAGAACATATGACTCTGATCAAAAATCATTCGCGTTGACACTGCATTTGTATGGGCCTAAGGCATATGATTATCTTTGGACAAATGGCTTACATCTTCCTCACACTAGGACATTAAGAAAGTAATCTTGTCATACCTGTTCAATAATTTTAATAAGATTGTTTTAAATAACTATTCTCAATGTCATTTTATTAACACTACATTAAAAGATGGCTACAAAACATTGATGGTATGCCTGGGGTGATTTCTACAAACCTTATTGACTAATGGTGATGGGGATCCTCTGGAACTGTAGGATCATGACATTCAATCTAGTCATGGATTGAGAAATCAATCCTTGATATATTTGATAACAAACATTTATTATAATATAAGAATGAAAAAAAGATGTAGGTGTAAGGCAAAATCTTACTGGAACTATTATTTTTAGCAATTTATGATTTATTTTTTTATTTATGACTTTATCCATTTTCAATGATACCAATATTTTTAATTATTATTATTCAAATTATACTCATGCCTATATAAATTAATTTGATTGTGGCTATTTCTATGCTTAATTATTTTATTTACTTGCCATAGGTATGCAAAGCATTTAATAAATTAATGATAATAATTAATCAATCAATCAATCTTCATTTTGCGTCCAGAGACCCGGTTTCCCAAGGTATTAATAATTAATAACACAACATTCTAAGTGCATAAAATATAATAAATTAAAAGTACAATTTTTACAAACCTCATTGGTTATGGTGATGGGGATTCTTTAAAACTGAACAATCATGATCTAACAAGTCATGGATTGATGAATCACTGGAATCACACATTATCTTTAATAAATTTAATAACAAAATGTACTAAAATTTAAGAATGAGGAATATTTTGTAAAACATTAAATGAAAAAAAATTTAGTTTGAATCACTCATAATAAATAAATTTTAATTAAATTGCAAGTTAGCTTGGGGAGTTTGAAGCTTGAATTGAACAAATTACAAAAGTGTTTATTTTATAAAATTGATTGATAAGTTGTTTAATATATTTATTTAATTTAGTTAGTATATTTTTTATTCCCAGACCTAAGCATTGTAAATAAAAATTTTAAAACCAATCAAGCAATAGAATTTAGGATCTTAGGAACAAGTGATGTTAGTCGTTAGTGTAGTAGTAGTATGTAGTAGTGTAGTGGTTGGTAGTTTCTAGTAGTCTGTTAATGTTTCTATTAATGTTCGTTAGTGTTATCTGTTATTTACTTCAATTAGTAATTAGAATCAGTAGAGTTTAGTTTTAGCTTAATTATTAGAGTTTAGTAATTTAATTACTAATTAGTCGTCGTTTAGTGTTTTTACACAGTTACAGTTAATGAGTTAAGTGTTGTTGGTGGTTCACAAAAAATTTTTTTTATTTAAAATGCAAAAAGATACTAAACCGTCATACAGCAATATCTATCCTAAATCAGCATCTAGTATCACCTTTTAAAACATTTTGAAATTTTAAATAACAGCAATATTCCGAAATTAGTAAATATACGATCGTAACTTTTGACTTGGGCGATAAAAAATTACCCTCCAATTAAGCTCCTTATTCGACCGTCAAAAATGAGCAAAGGCCGTTATATTTATTCTTATTATATGTACTGTACTCTCTACGGGGTCCTCCTGAGCATACGTTTGTTGGATTCTTGAGCCTTCTTTAGAACGAAGGCAGATAGCCAAGAATAGATTTAAGGTAATTTTTAGTTCGCTTTTCACGTTATCCTCATTGATTTCATTTTTGTGATTGAAAATATTACGCAATCCACCATAAGTTAAAAAAAAAGCATGAGAAGACTTTTTAAATTTTTAGGATTTTCAGTGGTTAAACATTAATGATAAATTTACAAGATTTTTTAACAATGTTATTCGTACAAAGGCCGGTGTTAACCCTGGATGATGCCCGGTTGAAGGGGTCTGAAATCTAATGTAACAAAACATACCTATTAAAACATGAGGATGTAATGACATAATCAACAGTTTAGGTAATTTCTATAAAAAAAAATTCTCAGATAACAAAATGCGCCTTTACTTCATAATATGTCAGCTTTCTCGCTTCTTTGTTTGAATCGAACGAAATCAAGTTATTCACTGATATATAATGAATGATGCAGAAAATATCAAGCTGTTTTTTTTAAATCAATGGAACATATTACGAAAAAGTAATTAAAATTCGTTTAAGTAGGTACTTTATACAAAGCTGAAAACATTACGAAATTAATGTAAATGTAATTTAAACACGTTTTATTGGATTCTCCATTGACAAAAAATAGAATTAAAAAGCATATAAAAAATAACAGTCAAGAAAATATTTAGGGTCCGTACATGTTATCTTCTGTCTGATCTGAAGCCATTATTCCATAGTATTAGGTACGGAACGCATTTGTATTTCAACATTCATAGAACCATCCTCCAGTGACATTGATTTGCAATCGTAGCTAAAGACCTGGTAAAGAGTCACTTTTTTCCTACAGAAAGGACAATTTTGTTTTTCTACGAACCAGTTTTCCAGGCAATCCGGATGAAAGATATGCCCGCACGATAGTTTGAGGACGAAGGAATTCTCTTCAAACTCATCGCAGCAGATCGGGCACGTGTCATTTGCATTGGAGAAATGTTCCCTGAAGTACGGAAATTTGTACACTCCCTCAGTCTTGTATTCTATAGGAAAAACATTCGAGTGGTGAACGTCTCCGCTGAAACGGAGGCCATTGTGAGAAAAATCGTACGACCAGATGATATCATTTCCATAGTACATTATCATATAGTCGTTCTGAAACTCCTGCATGTAGCGTAATAACATGTACCGGTCCACGCTCGCAAGTGACTTGTACGTCTGAATGCTGTTCAGTTCTAGCAGGCGGTCACTGTCCGATGCTAGGATGCTGGCAAAGCGTTCCGCATCCTCCTCCGAAAACTCCAACAGTTCCAAATTTTCATGTAAATACATCCTGCACGCATGTGCTTGTATTTTCCTATGATTTTTTTCATGACTTTTCAAGTACTTTTCCACAATTTTCTGGACACCAAACTTTATTTTTAATTCACGTACGAAATCCATTTTTATAGGATATATTTTCGAGAATTGTATTAAACAATGAAATTTTGACGTCTATAAGCAATCGATATTTGACATTTCCAAACATGTTTCGCAGTTATATACAGCTTGAAAATTGTAAATTTACGGAGTTTGTATTTAGTAAAGGACAAAGTTCTGTGTCGATTCACTTTGGCAGACAAAGACTTAGCTCGCTATGTACTCAAACATCATGGAACGAACGAGGTGTCCGTCTCCTTGTAAAATTTACTGCAATGGTTTAATTCCTTTGAAGTATTCACAAAGTTACTACTACTCATTCATTTGCACATATTTTAATTTGTTGCTTAGCTAACAAATTTTTATTGCATTTCTAAATTTATTCCAGAGAGTTTACAATCAGGATTCATTTCTAACTTTCAAACAACAAAGGCCTTGTTAGTTGCTATCGTTTGTTTGATTGATTCAAAATAAATTTTTAAATTGTGAAGTTTGTAAACTTTTCCCACACGTGTAAAGAGATATTGATGTCTTTGGACATGTTTTCCATTTTTACGATATTTCTATAAAATTTTTTTTGCAATTTTTAAACTTTGATCCAATAAGGATAAAAGTTTTAAACTCACTTATCTAATTAATTAATTGTTTTATTTATTGCTAATAAAATCATTCATATCAGATTTAAACAAGATCTCTATACGTAAGCCTACAGCCTAATCGGTCGGGACGAACATTCCCTTTGGTTAATTTTTCTGGTTTTAGATTTAAAATATTCAGGGACGAACTATAACAATGCTAAGTAATTCAAACAAAATCACAGTAAAACTATACAGTTATTAAATTAAATTCCCCTTATGTTATATCGCGACTTTCATGTTTTTAACAAAAATCTCAGTCAAATGAATAATGAAGGTTTATGTTCCGATTTAAATATAACCTTTTCAGAATAGTTGAGAGTGACAGTTTTAAATTATAAAATTCGCTTCAAGGTTTGATTTTCTTTTCAAATTAGTTGAATAAACGTTTAGATTATTTATTTTTGTATGAAATAATTTAAATATATATATAAACGTGAAGACGATTTAATACAAACAATGCGCTCTGCCGAGTATTTTTTACGAAATCAAATAATACAGGATCTGATTCTCAGCGTGGTTTGTTTTATTTATTTTTTTTTATATAATTATTTATAACATTCAAAATTTTATTTTTGCGAGGAATTTTATTCCTTGAAAAGATGCAATAGCGTTATATTTTCATTGCGAAAATTGATTAATAATAGCCATAATAATAATAATAATAATAATAACGACAAATATTTACACAAACAATGATACCATTGACAATAGCAGCTGGAGATTTGTAGCCAGAATCAGGATCGAAGGACAGTTCCTCCAGGTTGTGTAGGCGAAGTTGTTGTAGATTTTGACTTAAGAGATGAAGACTCGAAAAAATGATTCAACGCCGACAATAATAGTGAAGATATTAGTAAACCTTTAAATGGTCACGGTGACGACGACGATGATGACCGAGAAGTAGTAACCCATCATACTCATGCTTGTGCTGTGAGCACATAACGATCACAAGAGACATCTAGCCTGCAAACATTTTCTGATTGTTCAATGGAGATTATAATTTAGGCAGCTTATGAAGGTAAATTTCCAAACACAATTGAAATTGAAATAAACTTATACACAATCCTATATATTTCCTTTAGGACAGATGTGTTCCATATTGTACTGACTTTTGTGTACACAATTTGATAGAAGTTGACCCATGCCTGGAAGTTTGTATATGCCTCTGTATATTGTATGCTGTGGTCTTGTTGTTAGTTTATTCAAATGTAGTAGAGCTTAGTATGAATTTTTGGTAATACAGCTTTCTGTAAATTGTGTGCAAATTGAAAATTTCCTTTGGTTATTTCATTTTGTTTGGTATGTTTAAGTCAACACGAGTATATATATATATATATATATAATATATATGTGTATATATATATATATATATATATATATATATATATATATATATATATATATATATATATATATATATATATATATATGATAAGATTCAGAAAATTTTTGCATATATTTATTCTTTAAAAACTATGATCTGTTTTTATCTATATAAATATACAAAATCAAAAAGTATTATATCAGTTATATTTGTATGAAACCAACTGGATGGCATGGAAAAAGCCTGGATGCAAGTAAATCATTTGCATGTCGCATGCATCTAACCAGTCGGAAATTGTTGTGGTTTCCATTCGTCAGAATGACATGCGTCTTCTGTTTGGTTGGTGATGCGGTGTATGTTTATATATGAATACACACGTGTTTTTACACACACACACACACGCACGCACGCACGCACACACACACACACACACACACACACATATATATATATATATATATATATATATATATATATATAGAAAGAGAGAGAGAGAGATAGAGAGAGAGAAGAAGCGAGAGAGAGAGAGTGGGAAAGAAAGAAAGAAAGAGCGATAAATAAATTAATAATTTTTGCGCGTGTTTGTTTTGAGGTGTTTGTGAGTGTGTGTGAGTCTGTGTGTGTATGTGCGTGTGCGTGTGCTGTGTGCGGGCTTGCACATTAGATCCCATCACTTACATAAATATAACTTGCGGAGTCAGCCATCTCCCAAAGCATGTTTTAGTATCGCATCAGATTTATCGTCGTTTTATGCCTACCTATGTACCGCCGAAAACATTGAATAAAATTGACTTAGTCAAAAATACACGCTATAAGATACGCTCGTACCATGCATACAAAAACACATAAATGCCTCATACAGGCAAACACAGCCACGCACACACACATCACTTGCCTGTGTTTGCGTATACAACTGTGTGTGTACGTGTGTGTGTACGTGTGTGTACATACAACGGAAAACAAGGTCGATATTGTACACTCGGGAAATTTATAACATCCACCCGTGCAAGAGATTGTATGGATATATATATATATATTTATATATATTGTATGCTCAATATGGGGGTATAATAGACGTTGAATGGACGTTCATTCATTTCCATCCTCTCTCTCTCTCTCTCTCACTCTCTCACTCATTTATTCAGAATTCAGGATGTAGGGAGTGTTTTGGGATCATTGGAGATGAGTTATCGTCCATAGAATAATTGAATAATGGATTCGATGCCCTTTTGTAAGAATTTTATTATTTTCATTTTTGATTCAAAATAAAGTTTAAAAAATTTCATCATTTGCGCTTGTCAGTTAGCTTTGCAGAAACATCTGCGGAATAATAAATCAAATAAATAATTAATTTCTGGAATAGATGGAAATAAAATCAATAGACTTTTTTTAAGAAATCCGTTCGCAGACAATAAATTTAATTGAATTATTAATTGAATTAATTTTATTTGAATTCTGTAAAAAGTTTATTGCTAATCTTCTCCGTATTGGATTATCAACGTGTCTTTAACTTATATTCTTATATTATTTTCTTTTAAAGAATTATAACTATTTGAGCATTGATTTAATTATTCAATTATTAATTTAAATAGTTTAAATTCTGATGAGTTGGGCGCGTTAAGACTTAATAATTGATATGAACAATAAACTGAAATATTTTTATAAATAATTGTAAAATCGAAATTAAGCTAAAAACCAATCATGATGCACGCTCACTCTAGGAACACGTCCATTGCTGGTTAGTCATTCCGCTCCGATAATTTTTTACTAATTATTATTTAATTATTATTATTATTTTACTCTAATTTATTTTTCATGTATCAACATATTCCTTTCTCCGTTTTTGTATTTATTTATTTACTTAATTGTTTAATTTTGTACTACTGCCTTCCTTGCGGGCTGTAACAATTTCTGCGTCTGTCAGACCCTGATTTTTAAAGAATAATAAAAAAAAAATTCTGAAAATTTATTTATCAAATATTTTAAATTATTTCACTTCTTCCTTAACTAATTCTTTCAGGATTTATTTGTAATTCATCGTACGTTTCAAATAGTGATGGAAAAAGATCCCTGCCTTAACAATCGCACGAGTAATGCATTGATTTTGCATGTGTTTAACACTTCATTTTTGCCTCTGACTAATTCAGAACATTCTCAAATCAATGTACTAAAATGCTACAGAAAATGAAATGGTATTTATTTAAACAAATTGACCAAATTCATTCTCCAGATATTCCCGGTTCGACAACACACAGCGTCAAGTCGCCTCACAAGTCCACCACAACCGTCTCTACAACCACCAACACACCTCAGAAGAAAGGATCGAAAAAAAGTGGCGAGGATGATTGGCTGACCAAGTTGACCCTGAAACTTGAAGATAACAGGTTGGCAGTTTGGGGAGTTTTTTTTTGAATTAATAATTTTGAGACGTTTGATTGTTCATATAATTGGGTTCTGCCTTATTTGTGAAATAATTCTTATTATTTTAAGTATTCGCTTTCAGGTTTTAATAGAGTTTACAATCGTCAGTGATTGATTAATCAAATTTAACTATATTTTCACTTAATTCATCATCAATGTTTGTAACCGCTGTTTATATAAAGTTGTTCACCTTATATAAAGTTGTTTGCCTTATATAAAGTTGTGCGCCTTATATAAAGTTGTTCGCCTTAAATAAAGTTGTTCGCTTTATGTAAAGTTGTTTGCCAACGATGTTCAAAAATATTGTTTGCCACCTCTAACACAATTAATGTTCATCACAAACGTTCACCAAACCTTCTCCTTGCCTTGTTAACTTAGTACTGATTTTTATGTTTCATTTACACACACACACGCACACACATACACACACAGACGAACACACACACACAGACGAACACACACACACTCTGTCTCAGACAATTCATTTCGGCTGTTTATTTGCATTGATTTTTTTTTATGTTTCTTTGGTTGTTGTTGCCAGAAACAACTATAGCAACACCATAACCATCGCCACCACAAACAGCAACGGCACCACAAAATCGCCGCCACTACTACCACATAATCGCCAACTCAGATACGGAACA